CATTTGCCCTGAGCAAAAGTTGCTAAAGTTCCATCATGCCAGAATCTGTCTGCAGCAGATTGCTCACTGTCATCCACATCTTAAAAATTTTTAAATGAGGAGTGCATTATTAAATGAATCATGAGGGGACTGGGGACATTACTTCCCCTTTTTTATTTTTAAAATTTTGTTGGAACTCTTTGCTCACAATTGTTGATGCTGGACTATAACAGTAGAAGGATTTGTCTACCCTCCTTTGTTATCTATCTAGGTGAATTGGCATCACTATCTAAATTACTAGTAGATGCCTTTAAAAAGGACATAACCAATAAGTATTTCACAAAAACTGCTGAAAATCACTCAAAGATTGTAAACTATACTATGTCCCAAATAACTTTTGAAAATTATTTGAAGTTTGTGAGTACTCTTTCTAATGCGATCTGCCGTTTACTAACTGTTACCAATTTTCAATTCACTCATTTTCAATCCATCCTCCAACCGAGGATGATCCCTCAGGCAAAAGCCTGGAGATTTACTCAATCCACCCACCAACTGAGCGTGATCTCTCAGGTTCCCCTTTCTTTCCTGACCTCAGTGGATCAGGTGAAAGGCTGGAGATTAATCCAATACACCCATCAACCCTGGATTTTCAGCCTGAAGAACTCAAGAAACAAGACATCAAAACACCAAATTATCCAATTAATTGATAAGAGGAAATTTCATAGCACTAAGTGCCCACATGAAGAAACTGGAGAATAGTCTCACTAGAGTATTAATGGCACAACTGAAAGCTCTAGAACAAAAAGAAGCAAACTCACCCCAGAGGAGTAGACACCAGGAAATAATCAAATTGTGGTTTGAACTCAATAAAGTAGAAACTAGACAAACAATACAATGAATCAATGTAACAAATAGTTGGTTCTTTGAGAAAATCAACAAGATAGACAAACCTTTATCCAAACTTACCAAAGGGCAGAGTGTGAACATGTAAATTAACAAAATCAGAAATGAAAAGGGGGACATAACAATGGACACTGAATAAATCCAGAGAATCATTAGGTCATACTTTGAAAACCTGTACTCTACAAACTTAGAAAATTTAAAGGAAATGGATAACTTTGGGAGGCCATTGCCTATTGAGGGATAGTATTGCAGCCCAGATACATGAAACAAGTCCTAGGCCCTCCCCAAATGATATGACAGGCTTTGATGATCCCCTGTGGAAGGCCTCACTATCCTTGTAGAGTGGGTGGGACATAGGTTGGGGGGTTTAGTGAGGTTCATAGGAGGATGAGAGGGTGAGGACATGGGTGGATTGATATGTTTAGAATTTAGTAAAATATACAAAATAAAAAATATTTAATGAAGAGCATATCTGAGTCTCTGAAGAGACTCTGTACTTATACCTTTGAGCAAGGATGAAACCATTAAAAAGTATTGAGTGTTTTGCAGCTAGACTAAATATATTTTTTTAATTTTTTATTTAATCTTTGTGGCTTTCGCATAGTGTGTCTGGATCCCATTCATTTCCCCGTCTTTTCATATCCACACTCTGCCCTTGCAACATCCTTCCACAATAAAATTAATGAAAATTTAAGAGAGAGACAGGGAGAGAGAGAGAGAGAGAGAGAGAGAGAGAGAGAGAGAGAGAGAGAGAGAGAGAGAGAGAGAGATCTCATCATGGAAGCTGTAGTGTGACAAAGCCAGTCACACAGTACATCCCTTATTCCATAAATCTTTACTTGCAAGTGTTCATTGCTGTAAGTCATTGGTCTTGTTCCAGGCTTCTGGTTTCTGTTACATTATTGATATTGGGACCTCACTGGCACTTCTCTTGCCCTGTTTTGTGGGGATTCTGCAGCTTTGGATCTGCAGGACCAGTAGTACCTTTATGTGCTCCAGCAGATGACAGATGGGATGGACATTGTGGTGGACCAACCCACAGCACTGGTTCTAGACCTGGGTGTTTGTAGCTTTGGTAAGTCTACTGCTGTTGCCCTGGCTAGTTTATCCCTTGCAGCATGGATCAAGGGATTGGGGCCTGTTCTCCTGATCTCAGGCTCTTAAGTCCAGCTCATCCACACCTACAACACCAGCATGAGGATCAGCTCTGCTATGTTGCCTGGGTAAAGTGCAGGAGCCACTTTCCATAGTGCTACAGCTAGAGAGGGTGGGGGCCAGCTCTCTTGATCTCAGGACCTCACAGCCAGCTTTCCCAACTGTCATAGCCAAAGAGGGGTGGGGGGAAATCTCTCCCTTGCCCAGTTTACAATATGGTAAGTGAGGGGCAGAGCCAATTCTCCCTTGTTTATGTTCTGCAGGGAACTGCCTCACCTCTACCCTCTCCAGTCAATATGGTTAGCTATACTGTACTTCCTAAGCAAGGCCCAGGATTGGCTTTCTCCAGCGCTGCAGCTAATAAGGAAGAGGACGTGATAGTAAATGCCACTTGCTGCTTTACAATGAACGTGCAGAAATTCTAGTTAAATGAAATTTGGGGTGACGGAATTTCAAATATTCTCATTTATGGTATCAGACATATGAACAGAAGCACAGAGTTTGTCTTGGTTTTATTTTTTTGTAAATTTTTGTTAAATTAGATACAATCTTATTTTATAAGAATTGCAATTTTGATTCTTCTGGATTGTCAGTAGTAATTGTCAACCTGAGGCCATGTTGCTTACCACACCTGTGGATATGAGTCAGTATTAGTTGTTACAACAAGGGAATGAGGCTTTACTAGTCTTCTAGTCATTAAACCTATCTATTGTATTTCAGTGTGCTTGGTAATAATCCAACAAAGCTTGTGACTGCAGGTGTTTTATGGGACTGATATTTATTAAAATTAACTTTATAGTAGCTATCAACATAACACCTATGAGATGCCTACAGTATATATAAACTGAACAGTCATTATATTTAAGAAGTAAGACATTTAGTTTTTGTTTAACATGACAGTCTAACTGGCATTTGGTAATGCTTTAATGGTTGTGAACATATTTAGAGGTAACTGTAAACAACAGGGGTATCTTTCTAAATTATTTTATTGTAGAAATTAAAATTAAATTCCTTGATTGGTATGATTTTTCAGCACGTTGAGGCACTTTCTGGAAAGCTAGATCACCTGAATTTCATGACTAGTATTCACATAGTTGAAGGAAAGGACCAACTCCCACAAATAGTCAGAAGACCGCATGTGCACCGTGGCACATGTATTTCTTCCTCCTGTCACAAACACAGAAAATGAACAAAAAATATCCTGAAATTTTCTGACTACATTGCTTACTGTCATGACATATCCTGCTGTAATATATGATGATATAGACCATGTCAATTAAATTATCACTGTTCAGCACACACACACACACACACACACACACACACACACTCATACACACTCACACATATCATTAAGAATGAGGCAAATCTTCAAAGGTAGTGGTGAAATTAGATCAGCACTAGTCAGCTGATAAACAGATTTCCAAACACAGAATTAATGAAATGTGTATGTTCACAAAATCCCAACTGCTATGGAGAAAAGATATATTAGGAAACCATGGATGGCCTTATATTTTCAAAGAAATGGAAAGGGTGAGCCTCTGAAAACAAAAGGAGAATTCAAATAAAATTTTGAAGAAAATGAGTGTTTTAGACACATCCTTACTTAGAAATAGTAATTCTTGGTAAAAACAGTTACAAAGGGACAACAGGTGTACAAACAAGCACAGACTCTTAGATTCAAGTGTATCTGATATATTTTATGCACAGCTACTAGCTTGAGACGGCAGCAGGGTAAATGAGAGAGACGCTATTAGGTAAAGAATTTAGATTAGTTAAGGGGAAAAACAAATATTGGGCTGTAAAGACCCTAATTAGAACCATGGTTTTATTATTATTTATGTCTAAAACATTAATTTTGGCAATTAAGTAGTATTTCACATTCAGAAGACAAAAGAGGAAAATTGAAAGTATACATGGCTTGAATTCTTAAAGTCTTGATACCATCAATTTTGGTAAGAAATTGTTAAAAATTCTTGATGAAATTTTGGATTTGGAATGTTTTTGCCCTCAAATTCAGCATTAACATTCTCTTCTGGCCATGACAGTATGATGGTTAATTAAAAAATAAGAACAATTATTAATCTACTAGGTTCCCTACAACATGGTGGTTGCTTATATATATTTCTTTATTCCCAGGAAAACATCAAGGACCGCACCACTGACATAATACCATTGGATAGGTATAATTAATAAGACAAAGTGGCATATTATTTCTCAAGCAACAAGGAAACTAAAGGAAACTGTTCCAGCAATAGCAATGTGCTTAAACGTTCTTTTAATTTGCAAAGAAACTTTTTGTTAATCTTATTAAAATAAAGGGAAATTTTTTGGCCTAAAAGAAATTCCAAGGGGTAAATCTGTGAGAATACAAGGATTTGTGCTGCATGATTTTTGTAATATGATGCCTGCGGAAATACTCAAAGAAGTGATAGGATTATAAAGATTGTGAAGGAGACTTAATAGCTCCAGGATTTCATTAACATATAGTGTGAAGTGTAGCTTTGGTCAAAACATTGGTAATTAATTTTTTTTTTGCTTAAGTCCCTAAGCCACAAACTTCTGATGAGTGAAAATACTTCTGGGAAACAAAACACAAAGCAGTATTTTGTGGACTTTGATTTTTGAGGTCGGGGAAGCAGGTCCCTTTAACAGCATCTGTTACATAAGCGCATTCTTCTTAGGAAGAATCTTGGGTGAATCATAAGATTCTTGCCAGAACGAAAGCAGGCTCCGAGAGTCAAGTACGAAGGAGCGAGGTTTGCCGGGGATTGTTCAATAGTGGTGTATTTAGAAGTATTAGGGCCTTCCTCCCCAGGGATTTTAACGCCCTTAGACCCTCTCTCAGCCTCTGCCAATCTGTTAACCCCCACTAATGTCCTCTCTGATGATTTTTCAGAATTGCGACCTCAGCGATAGTCCTGGACAAGGTGACCAGAGTATACTAAGCTGAGATCTGCATAATGATGTGGCCCAGCGAGGCAAGGTCGCCAATCGACCCACATGACAGATTTCACCGTGTAAAAGTCTATCTCCTGAAGGAAGATGAGCGATGGGACCATCTAGGAACTGGACAAATATCAACTAAATACATTGGACGACTGCAGGGCGTTTGCCTGCTTGTTCACTCAAAATCAAATGGCTCACTGATAATGGAGTGCAAAATACATCCTGATGTGCCATATAGAAAACTAAAAAGGCATTTAATTACATGGATTGGACCTAATAACCGTACAGTGGCAATATGTTTCCGAGAATCAGATAGTTGTCAAAGCATCTGGGAAGACATTTGTGAAGTTCAAGGTAAAGATCCCAGTGCACAAATCACACAAGAAATTACGGATGATTTACATGTTTTACAAGAACTGCCTCAGATCCAGAATCTGCGTGAGAAGCAAACCTGTGAAAACAGCACACTTGTACAGATTGCACAATTATTTAATTTTGTTGAGGAATCGCCAAACTACAAGGAAAGACTAGCTATTCTTCTGAAAAATGAAGATTACATTAAAAAATTGCTACAGGTCTTCCACATTTGTGAAGATCAACAGAACATGGAAGGTTTACATATCCTATATTTCATTATTAGAGGAATATTGTTTCTCAACAATATGCATTTGTATGAGGTCATGTTTGCCGATGAATGTATCATGGATGTCTTGGGCTGCCTTGAGTATGACCCTGTTTTGGATCAGCCATATCGGCACCGGGAATTCTTAACTGAAAATGCAAAATTGAAGGAAGTTAGGCCAATAACATGCTCCAAACTCAGGCAAACAATAGATCAGACCTACAGAATTCAATATATTCATGACTTCCTATTTCCTACACCGTCCAAGTTTCAGGAGCATCATCTTTCTGATCTTACTACTTTTATTTTTTACAACAAAGTTGAAATAGTTACCATGCTTCAGGAAGATAAAATCTTTATGTTTGAAGTGTTTGCTCAGTTAAAAGATAATACTCTAGGTCATGAAAGACGGCGTGAGTTGCTACTTTTTTTCAAGGAATTCTGTGAATTTGCTAACATATTAAATTCTCTAAAGAAAAACATATTGAAAAGAGCGATAAAGCTTGGACTCATGAAGGCGCTGAAACTTTCAGTACAAACGCAAGACTACCAAACAAAAGAAGCTGCTATAGACATATTTACTCATGTAGTAGAATATAATCCACAGATCATCCGAGCTTACACAATAGAAGAAGCACGGACCAGCAAAAATGATGATGATCTTATCATGAATATAATGATCAAGCAAATCATCTGCGATCCAGATCCTGAATCTTCATACGTTTTAAGTTTGACAGCAGTTCTTCGTACACTTCTTGATCCTGGAAGCATGCGCACAACAGTGGATGGATCTGAAAAAAGCAAATTCATAAATTTCTTCTGTATGCATTGCCTGGATATCTTGGCATCACCAATTTTATCCATCACAGGAAGGAATAGTGATGATAACAGGGCAAGCATCTCTCCTGATAATTATCAAAATGCACAATTGCTTGGAGTTGTTTTAGAATTACTCAGCTATTGTGTAAAACACCACACAACATACATTAGAAATTATATTGTGGGTAACAACTTGCTCAGCAGAGTCCTGGTGCTAATGAGTTCAAAGCACAAGTTTCTGGTTTTGTGTGCTATCAGGTTTATGAGACATATGATTGCACTTAATGATGAAGTTTATAATCTTTACATAATACAGCAAAATCTTTTTGAACCTGTTATAAAAGCTTTTTTACGTAATGGGACACAAAGCAACATGTTAAACTCAGCTATTATGGAGCTGTTTGAATTTATAAGAGAAGAAAACATCATGTCTCTTACTGCAAATATTGCAGAAAAAATTTTTGTGGCTTCTGAATCAGTTGGGTATGTCCAGGCATTTAATGATTTGAAAGTTTATTTTGAAGAAAGGAAGGAAACCGAAAGACAAATGAGAAAGAATTTACATAATATAATATACCAGAAAATATCTAGCAGACATATGAATGCAATGGAGGTAAAAGACGAGGAAGAAATGTGTCCCGGAGAAAGAACTGATGCTATTCTCCCAATTGCAAGTGATTTTGCAAAAAACTATGACATGTTTATTAGAATTAAAGATACACGTGAAAATGAAGTAGAACAGTCAGAAAGAAAAACATCTGAAGCCTTTGACTGTTCTTCATCTCCTTCTGATGCTTCTGCTAATAGGGAGAATGAGCCACACTACAGTAGCCTGGTTCCTTCAGTGGACTACCCAGATGATGATGATGATGAGAACGACCATGAAGACCATCATGACATTGATGAAGAGAAAGAACCTCCTCACAAAAGATCTAAACTTGATTCATAAAATCAGATGAGGCCCTCGGTTTTTGATTAAAATACAATTCTAAAATATCACAAACTGAAATACCTAATTAAAATATCTTTCACTTATGGACTTTTAATTATAGTAATATAAGTAGCAGATATAATGAATAAAAGGCCTCACATTTCTATGAAGACTATCCTCCATAATATAGATGCATAGCATAAAAATAACAACCCCTAAGTGATAAATTCTCATCAAGAACATCTTATTTTGGAAGCATGGTTTGGGAGGTGGAAGCAGTCTGATAAAATAATACAATTCTCATTCTGGCCTTTATATTACAGCCAACTATGAAAGTTTTATTGCAAATCCTACTTTCACAAAAGGGTTAACAATGGCATTCTTTTCATAAATTGAAGTTTTTGTATGTGTAGAAGAAAAAGTCAATATTACAGTAAAAATAAAATGAAACATTTCAACTTTTTGTTAAGACTTAGCAAAAACAGCATTATTAATAACAGGAGGGAAGCAAAATTCAGTACAATTAAATGCATACATTCATGAATAAAATTATTAGCTGGATCCTAAATGAGCTGTTGTTAATGTACTTCTTTTAAATGAGAAATATCAAATATGAGTATCAAAACATTCCTTTTCATAATGTACGTTCTCTAGTTCCTCCTGAAATGAAACAGGATTCACCAAACATCTGATTGTTAAAGTTATTTCTTCATTCAATAATGAAGCTTTGTCCTTTCCCCCAGAGTTGTAGGTACATTGTGGGATAGACATATTTCTTTCTAGTTTATGAAACAAAGTACTTAACAAAAACAACTTAGTATAGAAAGTTTTAATTTGTGTTATGGTTTTAGGGAATACATTTCATCTCAGTGGGGGAAGATAGAGGAGTAAACTAGTCAATATTGGGAAGAATCTAAAGCAGCATGTCACATTGCACCCACAGTCAATAAGCAGCTAGATAAATTCCGATGCTTACCTCAGTTTCCCTTTTTATTTAGTCCAGGACATCAGCCCATGGTACTGTGTCACACACCTTCAAGCTATGTCTTTCATATTCAATAATTTCTGTCTTTAAAAACTACTCCATAAATATGCCAAGAAATTTGTCTCCTAAGTATAGATTCTGTTAATTATTACTAATTGATCCCTTGCCTATTTAACACCCAAGAATATACATTCTATGTCACAATCTTCCATATCTCTTCCCAAAATGCCTATGCCATTTCATGTTGTAAAATATATTCAGTCTAACCCACACACAAGCCTGGGACTGCCTGCCCCTGGAGCTGAGGATAAAATAGAACCCTGCTCAGGCCCAATGAAACTGAGCAGGTGAAGGTGACTCAGGGAGGCCTGCTCTGGACACCAAGGAGAAAATTCAGGTAGGAATGGTGGGCAGTATTATGGTGAAAAAATTATGGTGAGCAAAAATATGGTGTTGTCGTATGGGGGAAAGAGAGACAGGCAGTTTCATGTTCTGTGCAGAGCCAGATATGAAGGGTTGAAGACTGGGAGGCAATTGCTGAGGTGCGTGGCTTACTTGCCACTCAGTGCCAAGGTGAGTTTTGGGCCTGGGCTGCTGCCAAGACCCATGCATGGTTCAAAGGCCATCCTAAATCTGCAGTCTGTGTAGATGTCCATGGCTCCTGATAACACTGGAGGCTGAAAGGATAGGGCTGCGTATAGGTGGATGTGCCCCTCACTAGCTACAACATTAGGGAGAACGGCCCTGCTCCTTACTGGCTATAGCTCTTGGGAGTGCAAGCCTTGCACCTCTCCTGGGGAGCACTGTTAAGAGAAGCTTTTTCCTTGAGAAGGAGCCATTCCGCCAGCCTGGTTCCAGAGCCGCTTTCCCGCCAGCCTGGTTCTAGAGCCGTATCAGTCCCAAATAAACACACAGGAGGCTATATGAATTATGAAGCTGTTGGCCTTGCTTGTTTCTTACTGGACAGCTCTGACTTAAGCAATTACCCTATAATTGTTAATCTAAATATGTCTCTTACCGGAGAATAGGTCCGGAATCCTACCCCATGGCGTTACATCTCGAACTCTCTGTGTTTCTCCTTCCCAGAGTTCTCCTGGACTCCTAGTCCCTCCTATCTTGGTTCCCTATAGGCTCAACAGTACTTTATTGACAAATGCACAGGACTTCCCCCAACATCTCCTCTTTTCTATTTAAACAAAAAGAAAGGTCTTAACTTTAACACAGTCAAATTGTGTATAACAGAACAGTTATCAAATAAGAACATAGTTACAATATTTTAGCAAGATTTAAAGAAAATATCATCCATCCCATCCTTGTGAGTCCAAAGTCCTATATGTATCTTTTATCATAACTAAGGAAAACTATAATTATAACTATCTGTCTTCAACTCCATCAAAGACCAGAGAAGGATAATATATAAACACTAGGATTGATAGAGACATCTTACTGCCTGGACAGTCACCCGAAGTTCCACTGTAACGTTGGGGCATCCATCTTCAGCCCATAGGCCACAATGTATCCAGAAGATTTCTCAGCCAAGCAGGAAATTTCAAAACTGTCCATCTGCATCAGCAGCCTCTCAGTCATTTTTCTGTGTCCTGCAGAATGTACCATAGACTCTTCCATGAAGCAGGAACCCTGTAAGACTCAGTTCAGCAGTCACTTTCCTGTGGGTCCTGCATGTCCAGATTATACAGCAACAGTCAAACAGTCTAGGTAAGAGCAGTTTCTTGCCCAAATGGCTAATCTTGCCATGTTGAAACAAACTCCATAACGAGATTCTTCGATGCCCATTTTCCTCTCAGACATAATTGTTGCTGCCAGGAGCAGACATTTCTCATTGTCAAGAAAAACCCTAAACTATTTTAAATGCCATTTTCTGAAGGTCTTCGAGAGGTTTGAAGACTGTTTATCTATCTCAAATATATTCCTGTATATCTAGAAAACCTAACTTACCTAACTATAAATTCTACCTATTATAAGTAACTATCTATAATCTGCATTCAATTATGCATTACGTTGTAAAGGATCAGTATAAACACAATACTTAATCAAGAGGAGAAATATACACATCACAAAATTGACCTTGAATTTGTATCAATAAATGAAAAACAATACCCATACCATAATTCCCTTTTTTACCATTAAAAAATATTGGCTGTGATCATTAGCCAATTATAAGCAATCCCATTTAAATGAAAACAAAGATTTATAAACAAGATGGGTATTGGGACGTCGTTCATTCCAAACTGCTTCCTGCTGGAAGGGGGCCCTGTTCACACCACGGGGATCATGACAAAACTCAGAAACCTGTATAAGTCCTTATTTTTGTGGTCTGTAAAACTCCATCATCTTAGCTGTCTCAATTGTTGAAACACCTTGCCCACTGCTTCTGGGGATCTTGGTTCATGAAACCACAGAAGCCTGGAAGGAATCCTCAGCTTTTCATTTTCTGTGGAAACATAAACCAAAACTCCTTTTTCGAGTAACATATCCTTACACTTAAATTTTGAAGTCAAGGCATTTTTAAAAGATAGAAGTTGGATTAATTTAGCAGCATTTATAATCAAGTGTACTTTAGCAGTTCCTTCCTGAAAAACACAATAGTATACAGTATCCAGACTCTCTGTGTATTTTCCATCTTTACGTGGCTTATTTATTTATCTATTATTACTCTATTTCTTTTACTTTTATTTATTTTTTTCTGAGACAGGGTTTCTCTTTGGAAACCTGCCTGCCTCTGCCTCTGGAGCAATTCCTACCGGCGTGTGCCACCACAGCCAGCTTCTTTATTTTCTCTCTCAAGCTCACGTATATTTTTAAACACACTGTAAACCTTTAGAGGTTTTTCTTCATTTAAGTCTGACTTTACTGTACAGCTTTACGTTTTTCTGGCCACGTGTCTTATCTGTAAAACCGTGGCTGTTTTAAACTGCCGTTTTTTTTTCAAGATGGCGGGCGTAAGCGTGATTCCAGCTTACCGTCTCAGTCCATGCTGAACTCCAGCAAAAGCTGCCACTTCCAGCTGTACGTACACACCTTTTAATCATTAGCAGAGTCTCTTAAAACAACCATGCTGGGTTTTTTTGGTTTTTTGTGTGTGTGTGTTTTTTTTTTATGCTGAGTCAGGAAGACTCCGGTAAGCAAGCCACATGAATCTCGGCTTGTTGCTAGCAAAACAGAGCACACCTGAGAAAAATGCTGCTACCAAAAATCTGTGCTTCTCTCTGTTCTTCTGTTTCTAAAATTCCTTTAAAGCTTTTGTTGTTTTGCGTGGAAATTCAATCCTGCTTCTGACAACCATTTTGTTAAGAGAAGCTTTTTCCTTGAGAAGGAGCCATTCCGCCAGCCTGGTTCCAGAGCTGCTTTCCCGCCAGCCTGGTTCTAGAGCCGTATCAGTCCCAAATAAACACACAGGAGGCTATATGAATTATGAAGCTGTTGGCCTTGCTTGTTTCTTACTGGCTAGCTCTTACTTAAGCAATTACCCCATAATTGTTAATCTAAATATGTCTCTTACCGGAGAATAGGTCCGGGATCCTACCCCATGGCGTTACATCTCGAACTCTCTGTGTTTCTCCTTCCCAGAGTTCTCCTGGACTCCTGGTCCCTCCTATCTTGGTTCCCTATAGGCTCAACAGTACTTTATTGACAAATGCACAGGACTTCCCCCAACAGAGCACAGTAGAGCTGACCCTGCTGGTGGGCATGAGTGTGGAAGAACTGTCCTCAGTTGTTATCTGTCTGTGATGCAGCAGCATGGGTAAAGGAAAGATGCCCCCTCCTTGCCTCTTGTTCTTTGTCTCCTGCAGCAGGCAAGGGAGCTGACCCTCCCTCTTATCAGCTGCAGACTGGAGAAATCAGGCCCTGGGTCTTGCCTAGGAAGCACAGTAGAGCTAACCCCATTGACTGGAGGGAACACGGGTGAGGCAGCTCCCTACAGAAGATGAGCAAGAGAGATTTGGCTCTGCCCATCTATCATACTGTGGACTGGGAAATGGAGAGGTGTCCCCCCACCCCTCTCTGGTTGTGACAGTTGGGAAAGCTGGCTCTGAGGTTCTGTAATCAGGAGACCTGGGCTTCACCCTCTCTAGCTGCAGCTGGAAAGTGGCTCCTGCACTTCACATGGGCAATGTAGCAGAGTTGGCCCTGGTGCTGGTGGTGTAGGTGTGGATGGAACTGGATTTAAGGCCAGAGAGTAGGAGAACAGGCCCCAGTCCCTTAATCCATGCTGCAAGGTATGAACTAGCCAGGGAAACACTGGCAGACTGACCAAAGCTACAAACACCCAGGTCCAGAACCAGTGCTGTGGTTTGGCCCACCCAATGTCCATCCCATCTGTGATCTGCTGGAGCACATAAAGGTGCTGCTGATCCTGCAGTTCCAAAGCTGCAGGATCCCCACAAACAGGGCAAGAACAGGATGTCTAAGATAAGTGCTAGTGATGTCCCAATATCAATATTGTAACAGAAACCAGAAGCCTGGAACAAGACCGATGACTTTTGGCAATGAACACTTGCAAGTAAAGATATATGGACTAAGGAT